GAAGAGACAAGAAAACAGCAAATCCGCGTCCATCGACCTCAACTCTCTTCTTCTCTCTCTCTCTCTCCGATGCGGACAGTCCGTCGTCACGCACCAACCCACGAAGTTGTCACCCCGCTTAGTCCTCCCGCACCCGTCGGATTCGCCCGTGCCCACAGTCCGTCGTGGCCCACGTCAATCCCACGCGTTCGGCACCAGCCCGTCGGGTCGCCCAACTCCTGCTCTACTCACCTCTTACTTCGCTCGTGTGCCGACCCTTCCTGATCGCGCAACCCCGAGCTTCCAACAACGGGTTAAGAGAGCTGACTAATTGCATAGCCAAAATTTATAGGGTGCATGCATGCGCGAAGAACACGAAATTACCAGGACTTAGAGTGAGTATTAGAGAGGGAACGCCTGCATTCTGCATGATCGGCCGCGGCGTGGGGGACGTAACCCTTCTCCACACATCGATCCGAGCATGCAAGCCGAGGCTTATAAAATTTCAGCAAAAGAAAGAGAGGGAGGGCGGGAGAGACGAAGTGCAAGAAGAAAGATACAGTTATAATGACGCCCGCCCAAAATTACAGTTACACACACGATTAAGGGCGCCCACTAATCAGAGTGCCGTTGCGGCCGCATGAAGAAGCGCGTAGACAAAAGGCGCCGCGTGGCAGGAAAAATCCTAATTACTAAATTCCTAAATTCCTATCTAATGCGAAAAAAGCAAAAAGAAGCACGAATTCCAGAAGGAAAGTTCGAAATTCCAAGAGCCATCGGGGGCTCGACAAAATTCGAAAAAGATTTAAAAGGAAATTCAAAAGGAACGAAGCAATTTTCCGCGCGATGTCTGCGCCCAAAAGATCGAAACCGAACGTAAAGAAACGACATCAACATTTATAAATTGCGCGCGCGACTGGCGTCGCGCCAGACAACCATCCGACCAATCAATCAACCGGCCGTTCCAAGACACACCTGACCCCGTGCTCGGCCATTCGACGAAAAAGGACGAAAAAGCGAGGACACTGATGCAATTCTCCACCGATCCCGATCTCCTGTAATTGGCCCAATCTTCCCGGCAACATGTTATTCGTTAAAACAGTACATTATTGTGTGTATTAGTTTGGAACGAACTTATGACACAGTGTATAGTCTGGTGTAGTATCCCAGATCCGGATACATCCGAACAAGGAGTAAAATCAGCTTTGAGGCGAGGAGCACAGTCAGTACATATATTTGTTGTGCTCGTCTTGTGGTTCGGATGTGTCCAGATGTGAAACACCAGAGCAGAGTACACACTGTGTTATACGCCTCTGAGTTAGTACATATATCTGCTACCACTGTGTTATATATACTGCTGCCTCAGTACATATATCTCCTGTGTCCAGATTTGGAACACCAGAACACTGTCAGAGTAATATATTGCACTGTGTCATAGTTTTAGTTGGAGTTGAGCATCCCACTCATCCGAATCAGAACAGTATAATGATACAAACTCGAGTTTGTGAGCAAAACGAGTTGTGACTCTTCACAGACTTAGAGGAGTAGGATGACCTGTATTTAGAAGTGTGAGGACCAGAATGTATTGGAGTTCTGCACCGATGATCGTGTACATGCGTAGAGCGAGAGAGATAGAAAGACAGAGAGAGACAGAAAGAGCGAGCGAGAAAGAGACAGAAAGAGCGAGAGACAGAGACTCTTAGAGAGACTGTACTTAATTTTCAGGAGACGCAGGGTCGAGCACACGCGCAGACCATCAACCTCATTTTTTAAAGCATTTCAGACGATCGTTGTAGGAGAGCAGCAAGGTAATGTGAATTTCCAAGATAAGCGAAGCTTGGATGTATCCGAGATCACAGGAGATAGACAGACAAAGGAAGTCCGCAAGAAATGGTCGTGTACATTTGAAGAGCGAGATATATAGAAAGAGAGAGAGAGACAGAAAGAGCGGGAGACAGAGTGTCTCAGAGAGACTGTACTTATTTTTTCGAGACGCCGCACGGACGGCGCAGGGTCGAGCACACGCGGAGATCATCAGCCTCGCTTTTAAAAACATTTCAGACGATCGTTGCAGAAGAGCAGCAAGGCAATGTGATTTTCCCAGATAAGCGAAGTTCGGATATATCCGAGATCACAGGAGATTGATAGAGAGGAAGCCCGCAAGAAATGGCATATTAGCACGCCAGAGGGCTGAGAGATGGAAAAGACAAGCACCGTATAGTCACCCACAGCATTTCGTGTTACGGACGTATCCGAAGTGTCGAACTAGTATAGACCCTTCAATTTGAAGCTTCCCCTGTGCTTTTTGGGACACAGTTCAAGAAGTATTTTTTGCGAAACTGAGAGAGAGAGAGAGAGAAACAAACATTGTACCATCTCCACCACATTTCTAATCCATCCGGAGTGTCTCGGCTGTGAGTCGCTTTGTTACGATCTAGACAGAGCTGACAGAGATAGAAAGAGCGCGTCAGAGTGATGGAGAGGGAGACAGAGACAGAGACAGGGACATAGACAAAGACACAGAGAGAGACACAAAAAGTGTGGATGATCGCACTGAATTTTCTTTTCATGTCGACGTGGCACAGGAGACGCATGTTCGAGGAACACGCGAAAACCACAAGTGTAGTTGTACAAGAGTTGCAAGGTTTTCGTTAGGCGAGAGTAAGCCAAGTTCGGATGCATCCGAGATGACAGGGGAGAGGGAGTTCGAAGCAAACAACAAATGAGCGCACTAGACACACCTGTGTGTGTGTGTGTGTGTGTGTGTGTGTGTGTGTGTGAGAGAGAGAGAGAGAGAGAGAGAGAGAGAGAGAGAGAGAGAGAGAGAAAGAGAAAGAAAGAGAGAGCTGATTCTTGAATTCGTTTTTCGAAAATTGAGGCGTTCACCAATCATACAATGGTCATTTGTTCATGAGTGCCAGCTCAATTCAGTTTGTGTCACTTTGTAGTATCAATCGGCTTCGTCTTGTGATTTATCCTTCCGTCACCACATCCAATTTTGTCCAATCATGCAATTATATTTTCAGCCGCGCCACCTTAATTCAAATCTCGTCACATTCGAGCAGCCACTGGCGTCGACTTTTGGGTTTTCCCACTTGGCACATTCAAATTTTTCATTGTATTGGGTAATGCATAGGAACCGAATGTATGAATGCTCGTGCAGAAGGGGAGCTTTGCCGGGCCAAAAAATTGACAGCATTCAATGTCGGAATCACAAAGCACACAGTGYGGAGGGCYAGRCGGGCCATCAAATGTATAAAGARGCCCAKGTGTTGYATTTTTTTCTCTGTGACGCCTCACAACATTCAAAGTGAAAATGCATAGATGAGTGTAGACGACGGGGGAGGTTCGAGAGAGAGGCAGAAAAGCATAGAGTTAATTCGATTCCGGATGCATCCGAGTATGCGGGCAGAATATCACACCACACAAGGCACAAAATGACGAAAGCGAGATATTCAATCACGAAACAGGCGCCCCAACAACGGGGACGTTCGTGGTAATTGAAATCCAATGAGAAAGAACAATATTGTCGACGACAAACACGCCGGGAACATGACAAGCTCACCCGGAGATATCCTGGCAGTGACAGTCGGTTCTGCTCTGAACCAAACCGAGAACACCCACCAGTCCCTCACGGAAAAAATGAAAAGGAAAAAATTTTGTCCGGAGAAGAACGAAATGTTCTTCTACGTCAACCCTTCTACACTACATGATCAACAAAGAGATAGACACTTACCTACCAACATCGCAAATCGCCAAAGCTAGTCTAGCTCTGATAGAGGAGATGTGCCTATGGGAGAAACCAAAAGGTGGACGTAAACCTTTCGCCAAACATGAAGCGAACATCAACATGAACACCCCACAACTAGCCCCGTCGTGCTGCCGAGGGACACCTTTCACGCTGACCTCGCGAGCTTAGTGGTCGAAAGTGCGACCATCACCGGCGGCACCTGCCACCGTGTTAAAAAATTTAACAGTTTTATCCAGAAGTGCGGAGTAGAAGGAATCTTTGGATGACGAACACGAGAAAGAATCATAGATGTCCAAAACACGTCTAGAGAAGTCAATGGCCAAAAGGCTCCAGTGTTCGCCGTCCTTGTGCACTGGTGCCAAGACGAGGTCAAGAGACAGGAGGTCGACATCTTTAGCCCATCTGAGAACAGCTGTCGGACCTCGCAAAAGCAGTGAAGAAGCGGAGAAGGAGTTAAAGGTGTATGTCTTCATGGTAGCGGCAGTCCGGCCGCAGTCGTCCAGTAGCATCGCCATGTAGAAATTGACAACCTCATCGTTGAGCTCCCCGGATCTATCCACGAGTGCGACGATGTCCTTGACGGATACCTATAAATTGTGCGACGGCAAACGCGCGATGATGATAGTGAGCGGCAACCGGGAGGAGATAACGTCTTCAAGGAACGCTCTTCCATCTCGAGGAAACCCTGTTCAACAAACATCCGCAGCACACAGCAAGCACAAAGGACGGGGCACTATGAGAAAATGTCGTCCTAGCGGCCATGGTCCGAGGAACCGCTACTCTATAGTCCGAAAAGTTCACGCATAACGTCACCCCTACTTCTGGACCTTCTACACACAGTTGATTCTAAACTAGCACTGTCCTTTATATCCCTGAAAGCCTCGAGAACGAATTCCTTGCAGTCTTTTTCGGCAACACTCGCTGCCTCTGCAACGAGTCTTGCGCGGGAGCCCAATACGGGCACGACTACCCTTCAGAGAGGGCCTCGAGGCTTAGTGTCCCCAGGAAACGCATCAGTGACATTGCGACGACCAGTGCCTCCCGCAACCAAGACTGACAACCTGGCGAGGGCAGACGGCTCCTGCGACATGGGTGTTTGTCCACGAGTTCATCGACCTGTACAAGAATAGCCACCCAGAGAGTTCAGCAGGAGATCAACAACACAAGTTCGCAAGAGCAACCAAGCAAACAGCACCTCACGAAGCACATCGTCACAATCCAGTTGGCGGCCGCCTATACACCTCCCCGAAATCGACGAAGCAAACAACACTTCACGAACGGGCTGACGAGCGGGAAGAAAGCAGAGAAAGTCAGTGCTTACCAGGCCTAGCTACCACTTCACCAGAGCCCACCKACGRCAGTCCCAGCACGATTGGCACCCCTGCGCGCGTCGACGCAGCGACGACGTGCTCCAAACCCACAGGGAAACTTGACAGGCTCGAGATGTCGGCGTCGATGACTGTAGACGGTATATTTGTCTCCGGACAAAGAGCGTCGACGTCCACAACTTTGACAGGTTGTGTTTTCTCCATTGCCATTCTGTCGTATTGTGTTGGGCTCAATGTCTCATGGATGTCCAACAACACCTCTCCCCCCCTTAACTTCTTGTCCCCGTACGCTGTGTCTTTGTCGTCGTCACTCAAATAGAGAAATCTATCTTCGACAGCGTCAGAGGCCTTCTTCAGAACGTCCTCCCCCATCGCCTCGTTGTGAAGGGCGGAGTACAAGGGATCGTCATATCCCGGCTGAACTGGTAGCTCCATCTCGACGTCGCTGAGTGTCGGATCAATCCGGTCATCGGCGGAATTGTCCTTGTCCAAAGTCGTCAGTAGTCGACAACCCTCAACGCCTGCCAGTTGAAGTCCTTCGTCCGTGTGCCTCGGATGAATCCGAATCACGGTCGTCTCCAAAGATGCATCAGGGAGGGACATGTTCACAGGGCCCTGGTTCGGATTCATCCGAGCCCCCGCAGTTTTCAATGACGCCGACATGACCGCTTTCACCGGGAAGTCACTTACGACTGCTAACTCGGCTCCGAGTGTGTTGGGCTCGACATTGGAACTGGTCGCCAACTCACCCTCAGTCGGACAGTCCGCCTGCAGCTCATTGTGGGCTTCCACGCACAGCATTAATGCATCCTGACACCGATCGTCTGTCATGGCAGACACGACTTCCTGTTTCGGATAAATCCGAATTTCGTCGCCAGGGTTTTCGGAAACACGGACCACCCGTTCGAGTTTTGTAGACAGCTGTGCTCCCTCGATGGCACGGCCTTCGCGGTTCGGATTAATCCAACTTCCTTTGGAGGCGAAACGGAACACGGTTCCAGCTTGTCGCTGCCGGACCCGTGGTATGTTGTCGTCTCGCTTCCCCGAAGGCACTGAGTTCCGGACAACGACGTCGTCTCCGAGGTTCGGATTGATCCGAGACAATCCGCCAACCGTTTTTGGAGCTGAGTGAAGCATGTTCCATGCTTTGCGACACCCGCCCCGCCAACCGCATCGACAAACTATGTTTCGCTGGTGGAGCTAATCACAGGGTCCTGCTCACCAGGCCGCGTAATACACCCAGGCCTCAAGTTGTTCCTCGCCTCCATTGAGGTGCTGCCTGTTACCGCCAGAACCCCACCGTCCTCGTCTCGGTCGACATTGGACCCCTGCCCGTCTCCTCTGTGATGCTTCGTCTTCTCTCCGCTGCGAGGCTTTTTCTTCTCCCGGCTGCCCTTCTTCCCCTCTCCGCCGCCTGCGTGCCCCGGAGACCGCTGTTTCGTCGAACGCGGTTCACTTCCACCTCCGGTTCCTCGTTGCCCGTCGCCTTCACCATCCCCGTCGCCGTCCTTTCTGCGAGACTTGCGCTTCACAACTCCTGCCGGCGGGGTGACCTCTGGCAACTCCCAACTCACTTGCTTAATTGACGGGCTTAACGGAAGGGCGTAGAACGCGGAGGACACTTCCAGCCATTTATTTTACTGCAATAACTCGAACAGCGTGTCCCCGTATTCGCGAAGAGCAGGGTCGTCCTTACTTCGTCGATTGACCTCACTCAATCTCTCCAATACCGCATCGTAGGCACGAGATTCGAATGTCTCGAGGTCCCGACGATCGTCATATATCCACCCTCCACTTACGTCCCTCACAGTCACTGCCCATTCGCCGTCGAGAAGGACTGGCTGGAAATGGTATGGGTGCCATACGATATCATGGCCCCAATCTTCGGCTGTGGAGAAGGTGTGTTTGTCGCCCATGTGGAAGGGAGTCGCAGGAGCCTTGAGATGCGGATGGTCCGGAGGAACTGGATGGCCGGGTCGAAGGCGTTCGGGCTGCAGCGTGAGACGAATAGGCTCCCCGGGCGAACTCCTCAGACGGGACAACCCACCCCTCTTGACAAGTGCTGAGGAGGACACGGGCGTGGGACCGCCCGAGGTAGGTGTAGCGAGAGGTGTCCCCGGTTTGCATACTGATGGCGACTCAGAAACTTGGGCGTTGAAGATGGCCAATTGCCTGTCCAAATCGAAGAGGTCGTCCTCAACGCTCTCCTCCTGCTCAGTCTCAATATTGAAGTCGTCCTCCTCACCGAATGCCTGCTTGTACTTATCCAAAGTGAAGTCGGCCGGATCGACAACATCCTCGTTAAAAAAGACATATTCCAGCCTCTTAATGAAGCTCACAGCGTCGGCCCGACTCGCTCCGTGGTAGCCCTGGAGGACCGCAATGGCGACTTCCTTCCGCACCACGTACTGCGGATCAAATCTCAACCTTCGTTATTCGCCGTAAAGGAAGGAGTAGACCTGGCGCCTTTTCTTCGGAGTCAACTTGAAGAACATGTCCTTGTTCGGGTCATAAACGGGCTCAACCACGACATGGTGGAAATCGCATGGGTTAGCCTTGGACGACACTTCATGGGTGACATACTGCAGGGTGTATTCGAGCTGCGTTGTGTCCCCATCCACGGCCAAGACGTGCCTTCCCTGCTGAAGCAGACTCCACACCACCTGCGCGTGCGGCTTGCCTAAGAACAGCACGGCATCCGCCACACCACAGAAGAAAAGAAGCTGATTGCACAACTGATTCGGATTCCGCTCGCCGTCCTTGTATAGAGCCCCCCTCTGGGTCAGGTTTCCGATGTCCGCGAAAGTCAAGGACTTGAAAGACTTCTCCTCCACATCCGTGGGTGTCACTTTCTGTTTCCTCCGTAGAGCGGCGACGGCGTCTTCAGCAATAGCTCCCTCGTACACCGGGTGAGTCAGTAGTCGAGGATCCTCGCCTTTGAAAATGATGTGTATCACATCCAGCTCCTCCCAGACGCTATTTCCGAACTGATGCGTCTTCTTCGATGCCGTCTTCCGAATCCACTTCCCCGTGTAGCATCGGGTAGTCCCAAGCGCAGACAAACATGTCATGAAGGAGAGGTTCCACAGGCAGGGGACGAATACCACCAATGTCCAGTAGTCCTAACAAACGAAGCCCAGCAACTCACTCAGAGACGCGAATGCCCCAGAGTCCCATCGCGCACGGTCCACGGTACCGCATAAGTCCTTGTCCACATAATGTTGATGCATTCATCAACGCCCCGAGGGTTTTTTTTGCCTTTGGCGCGATCTCCAGTGATCACCGAAAGGACGACACGCATCCACTCCGCCGGGAAATGCTGGTCGTTGACGAGGGCCGCCGTTCTCTTGATGTTGTTGTCGTGTTGACACCCGAGAAACTGAGGGCACTTGTTGACGTATGTGGTGTCCGTGAAAAATTTCGCGCTCTCGTTCCAAAGCTTGTCGTCGAGACCTCTGTCCTTGAACTCTTTGAACAGTTGCTTCTTGGACCTGAAGAACGTGGAGTTGGCATTCCACTCCCGCTTATCCATTTCCTCGTACTCGAACTCCACGAAGTGCCACAGCCTCAGCATAATCCGGTCCATTTTTATTATGTCGACCATCTCCTTGACACTGAACTTCCCCTGCTCGGCCAACTTCTTGCTACTCGTTTGAACCCACACGACGTTAAGGTTCAAGACGCCGTTCAACAGCCTTTTCTTCTCGCGGTCCGTCAACTCGACCAATTCCTTCCAGCAGTGGACATCCAGCTCCGGAATGTGGACGTAGAAATTTTTCTCCTCCCCGCCTTTCTTTGGCTTCCCCCTACCCTTTTTCAACGACGAGTCGTCCACCTTCACGTACCAGACGTGTTTCTTCAGCCCCTGGCAGTCACAGTGGAGAGTCCTGGCTTGGCCACCTCCTCATGGGTGGGCGACTTTTCAGTCCAATGCCGGCCGTCGGAAGCAAGGAGTTTCCCTTTCGACCACTCCTCATAGAACTTCAACCCCAAAGCGAGGACGGAGTCATCTGCCATGGCCAGCGGGAGGTAGTATCGAAGTTTCTCAGCCCATTCCTTTCTTTTCTTTTCTTTCGTTGACAGGTTCCAGATAGGCGTGTACGGCGTCTTCTTCATTACCAACGCCATGAACCTCACCCACTTTCGCACCTCGTCCTGTTTCTTCGAGGCATTGCCGAGCACCACACGCGGTTTGCCCTTAATTTTCCAGATATTGCAAATGTCCCGCATAGACAAAACCTGCAGGCGCGGTGGATTCTTCTTGTCTTTCATGTTGTCTTCGCAGCTGACATGGGCGTAGCCGTCGAACTCGTCGTCAGGGAAGTAGATCGGTCTGAAAGGCCATTTACAAAAGTTGTAGTAATCAAACACGGGATGGTCTTTCATCATCATCACCGCCCTCGCGTTATGCTGTCCACACACAGGATAATACCAGTATTTCTCCGGGTGCGAGCTGTCGAAGCCAGCAGGCAGCACGCGTACAGCAGGCTCGCCGTTCTCTGGAGGCGCAACGATCGGAGCGAGAACGAAAATGGGCTTCGTGTATCTCATGTCTTTGCGTTCGTAGCAGTCGATCATAGCCGACGCGATGGTATCAACGAGGAACTCGTCCAAGGATCGGTGGTTGTACGCGTCTTCCCAGTCTGGAATAGCTAATATTCTTTCGGGATGGATGTGCAATACGACGTCCTTCTGCACCCTTGTCTGCATCTCGAAGAAGAACTCATTGTCGAGGTTAATGGCGTTGAGGTTAATCTCCACGTCGTCATCCCCCTCCCCGCTGTCGTCGTCGTCTGCTTTCTTCCCCCTCGATGATTTCGACCGTTTCCCGGAAGACTCACCGATTCTTCGCCGTGTCGACGAGTCTTTTGGCGTTTCATCCCCACCTCCAACCCTTTTCCTCTTCTCAACGGAACCGCCATCTCGTGTTGTTGGCGTCCGATCACTCCCTCCTGCCTTTCTCTGCCTTTTCAGAGCACCAACTCCCTCTCGCTCTTCCTCATCTGGCATGTTGCGATTGCCTCCCGACTGAGTCTTTTCAACCGATCTCTCACGGAACAGCCCCTGCTCGAACACCTCCTCCTCACCGGTGAAGTTCCCACTTGCTTCCCGTTCCTGGCTCAACTCCGTCTGCAGTTGCGTCGGCGCTGGTCGGGCCCGGTGAGTCGTCTCATCTGACCCACGCACCTCCCGAACCTGCGGACCACCCGCTCGATCTCCAGGCGAAACCTCGGCCACCTGCATCAGGTTGCATGCCACGAACGAACGAACCGATCCTTTTGACCAGACCACGAGGAGTCGTCGATTCTGAGCCCTGTCGCAATCGTTCGCCATCGCGGCCTCCATGTGGCGTCGACTCCCCAAGCAAACCGTGGCGGCGAGATACATGCAGGCCCGGTTTCAAAGGAGCACGCGGATGGTCGTCGTCCGAGTCGTCTGACATGCCCACCTCTTGATCAGGAGGCGTAGCTGGTAGGCCACCCTGACCTCTCATCCCCCCTTCAGAGCACTCTCCTCCCGCGAACCCAACAGGACCACTGATCGATGTTCCAGGTCCGACGTCCACGGCACTGACAGAGGTACCAGATTTCGCCCAGACCTCGAGGAAGTCTGTGCAATGAACGGCCTCGTCGTGCCCCGGCGCTAGCGAGACAAAGTGAGGCAAAGACATCGCACGACGGCCGTACCCGCCGAACATCCTCCCGGCAACCTTGCATCCCTTTGTGATGCCATCGACAGAACCATCACTTTTGTAATGCTTCTTCAACGTAAACTTGAAATTGTATTCGCCATCGTCGACCCACTGGACGATGGACCCTGCGAGACGCGTTCTGTCGGTGCGAACGGCGACGAACAAGAGCGGCCCGCACGGTGGTTGCAAAGGGTCGGAGCCGTCCTGGCTCGCCCAGTCCAAATACCAGACACGTTTGTTGTAGTCGCACCACAAGTTTTGAGCACGCTGTTCTTCCTCCCCACCTCCAACTCCCCGACTCATTTCCCTTGCCGGCAACGACGTCGTCCCTCGACGCTCCTCTCCATGCGGGGCGGAACCACCAGCGGAGCGGCCTCGTCCTTGTGAAGCCATTCCCTGAAACACACGAAGGAAATGAACCCACATTCACTCAGAACAGTCAGCACGTCTCAACAGCAACCACGACCCACAACACATATTCTGTTATCGGTCACCCGGACTCCAAAAGAACGAAGTTCAGTCATAGTTAGACGACAGTGGTCCACAAGCAAGGAGGTTTCGGATGAATCCGAGGCGTCGTGTGGCATCCTCGTCACACTGCCCTTAAGAGAATGAATGGTCGAAAACGAAGACCACGGGATAGATCGGATACATCCGAAGCAGGCGCAGTCGAAAAACCGATGTCGCATAGGCACCTGCACCGGGAAAAGCAACACCTCACAAGAAGGCCCTAGAACGCTGATACGGCAGACGAAGACGAATACGTTGTCATCCGAAGTCGACAAGTGGATTGTAAAGTATGTCGTTGTAGTTCGGATGAATCCGAGCTCCAAAGCGGTGTGGACCACCCCCTTTCGGCCCGTACGAAACCGAACTCGATTTTTCTTGTCCTTCTGAGTCGGTAAAGGTTGTGACTCGGATGCATCCGAATTCGAACAGCGCGATCCAGAGACGGTCGTCCACAAGAGGTCATCTACAACACGTGTTTTCGTCACCGACCTGTGAGCACTGGGTTAAACCTATCCTGTCGGAGGTTCGATTCGGTTGAACCTGAACTTCGCAAATGTGGCTCGGATTAATCCGAGACGGGGACCGACGGATGGACCCCACGGTCTGTTGACGCCCATCCAACCATCCAAGCTTCCGTTATTCCCCAGCTGTCGTCGGGTCCAACCGAATTTCGCACGGTGTGTCTTCGTCCTTGAGTGTTTAAGACGTCTGTGGCTCGGATTTATCCGATTTCGACAGAGGCTGTCCCGATACCTGCGACCACGACAGGCTGCGCCAATACCGTGTGCTTTCAACGTACAAGTTTATCAGACCGTGTGACGTCGTCAATACCCTCTGCGCATGTGGTAAATCCGAAAATGCCACCGGTGTGGTTCAGATTAATCTTACTTCGCCGAGGCGCTTCGCTTTGTTGTCGCCCCACCACACACCGGACCTCCCCGCGATTGCCTTAGTGTGTCATTGTATTCTGTGCATCATCACGGGGGATATCGTCGTCGTCGTGAGTTTTAGTTGGTTGTTGCTCGCCCTATCCAAACAACAGACACGTTTGCTGTAGTCGCAACACAAGTTTCGAGCTCGTCTTTCTTCCACCGAGCGTAACCATCTCGACTCGTTTTAGTTTCGTGAATCCGAGGCATCGTTGACCCTCGTCATCAGACTGCCCTTCGTAGAGCAAATGGTCGAAGACGAAGACAGCGTGGTAGTTCGGACAAATCCGAACTGGGCAGAGTCGAAAGACCGACGTTGTGACTCGGATGCATCCGAATTAGGCAGACCACAAGAGGAGGACATCGGCACGACGTGTTTTCCTCAATGACCTGTGAGCAGAGGGTGGACCCTATCCTGTCGGAGGTCTGGTTCGGATTAATCCGAGACGGAACGGTCTTTTGACAGCGTGTGATTTCGTTGTTCACGTTTATCGGAACGTGCGGCGTCGTAAATACCGTCTGAGCATGTGACAAATCCAAATTTGCCCTCAGCGTGGTTCGGATTAATCCGAACTTCGCCGAGGTGCCTCGGTTTGTGGTCGCCCCGTGAGTTTTAATGGGTTGTGACTCGGATGCAACCGAAATTAACAATGGTGGCTCGGATACGTCAGTTGTTGCGCCACCACAAGATGGTATGGACAGGGTGGGTTGTTGTCCTCCTGGGTGGTCAAACATGTCGTCGTCGATAATACCCTTTGAGCATCTGATCGCTCTGTGTCATGTCCTGTGTCCAAGTCAGCGGAAGGGTTCCTCACGGCGTTCGGCTGACGCGAGGTTTGATAGGGTTTAAAGATTTGAATTCGCATTCGCCTCCTGTGTCTTCGAATCTGTCGTAGCAGTCTTCGGATTACTGATCTGTGATTGCACTCAGGGGGGGGCCAACCTGAGATCGGTTGAGCGACTGTCTACGATAGACAAAGATTGGAGAAAGGCAGAAAACCCGCATCGACACGAAAGGGAGACTAAGATCGATGGAGACGTTGACAAGGAGAGGATGCGCAGCAAGAGAGCCTGTCTTTAGCTCTCTGTCTCTCCATGTGCAGATCCTGTGGATGGTGTTGTCCATTTCGGAATTCGCAACGTGACCCGTTAATAAAATGGCACAAAAGAAATATACGAAAAAATTGTTTGTGTCGGTGAGAGGAAAATTGGCGAAAAATGTGAAAAATTCGACGAATGTGGAGGACAATTTACGGATACAGAACCGAACGCCGAGCGAGCTGCACGACGCGACTTACGCGGGAAACGAATAAACAAACCGAGGGCAATAAAAATTAACTCGGCGTGAAGAAACTCCATGTGCAATCCAGAAGAGACACGATTCGTGAGAAACCATGTTCTCGTGTTCGACAACATACGACTGAAATCCTTATATCGCAGTTCGTGAGAGAGACAACATATTGGCGACAAGCGAGTAACACTTCAAGAAAACATCTGAAGTGATGACACAATCTCGAAGGGCGTGTCGCAACATTCTCAGGCTGCATTCGCAGGTTCCGTTTCGTTGGTGACCACTCGCCCCGATCAGATGGCACACTCACATGTCCACGTGACAGCTCCTGAACATGCGTGGCGACGATCAGATAGAGCCCCGCATCCATCAGCGTGGCCACGCTTGTTCAGGACGTGACACGTGGACGTCTGAGTGTGCCATCTGATCGGTGCGAGTGATCGCCAATGAAGCGCATGCATTCTTGCTCCTGAAACTCCTTCATCTCGCCCCGATCAGATAGCACACTCACACGTCTGCATGTCATGTCCTGAACATGAGCGGCCACGCTGGTGGGTGTGGGGCTATATTGGAGCCTCGCATCCATTCTTCTGCCGCATAGAGCCCCGTTGTCGCATAGAGCCCCACATCCATCAGCGTGGCCACGCTTGTTCAGGACGTGACACGTGGACGTCTGAGTGTGCCATCTGGTCGGTGCGAGTGATCGCCAATGAAACACATGCATTCTTACTCCCGAAACTCCTTCATCTCGCCCCGATCAGATGGCACACTCACACGTCCGCATGTCATGTCCTGAACATGCGTGGCCACGCTGATGGGTGCGGGGCTATATTGGAGCCTGGCATCCATTCTGTTGCCACATAGAGCCTCGCGTCCATCAGCATGCACACACTTGTTCAGGAACTGACACGTGGACGTTGACTATGCCATCTGATCGGGGCGAGTGGTCGCCAATGGAATGAGATCCGCAAACGCACCCCGAGGTAAGTTTGCGAAAGAAACAGGCCAACGCATAAGACGAACGAAATAGAGGCGCTCAAGACAAACTAACGACGGGGACGAAGATGGTAGTTAAACACGACGGCACACACGTCCACGTGTCAAGTCCTGATCATGCGTGGCCACGCTGATGGGTGCGGGGCTCTATTCGACAACATTTTGTTGCCGCATAGAGCCCCGCAACCATCAGCGAGCCCACGCTTGTTCAGGACCTGCCACGTGGACGTGTGAGTGTGCCATCTGATCGGGGCGAGTGGTCGCCAATGGAACTAGATTCACGACATAGAGGCACTGATAGAAAACAAACGACGATGGTGGTGGAACACGACGCTGTTGGTTCTGTCTCGTTCGTTTGTCTGCGCTTGTCAGTTACGTTCGCGAACTTTGTGCGAACGACACAAACAAGCGCAGTGAAACGAACGAGATAAAAGACAGAAAGAGAGATAAAGAGATAGCGAGAGAGAGAGAGAGCGACAGAGAGGCGATCTCCACCTTCATCACACGGCCCAATCAGACGTCACGATCAAATGGCCCCGAACGTCATAGACTCCCTATCACACATCGGACTCACGGACAGAAATCCCTGTTGGATCACACGACACTGCTCGTTCGCGGCGACTGAACCCAATGTAATCGCCACCGCATGAATCCCGACTATAGATCGCGTACATGTGTGGGCATTCTGACGGTCTACGCAAACCCAGCATGGCAAGACTTTTCAGGTCGGAGGAGATGGCGAGAGAAAGAGAGACAGAGAGAGAGAGAGAGAGAGAGAGAGAGAGAGAGAGAGAGAGAGAGAGAGAGAGAGAGAGAGAGAGAGA